TAAATAAATAGACTGCAATAAGTTAAAATATATTTAAAAAAAAAAAAGCACAAAGAGGGAGAGAGGGAGAGAGAGGAGGGAGGGAGAGAATGAACAAAGAAAGGTGAATATCTCTGTGCTGTGGGCTCCATGCTGGCTGCCCCGGAGGTAAGCACCTGCTGGGGCTGAAGCTTGGCTCCTGGTTCACCCTGAAACCTCATTGTGCCCTAAAAATGAACAATTGAATAAGTTTCTTTCTCAATTCATTTCAGGATAAAGTCTTCTAAACAATAGGTTCAGAGTTTGGGAACTATTGAGGGGGCAGAGAACAGCAGGATCCCCTCAGTGACTGCAGAAGGGGCTTGGCACTGGGCGGGAAGCCTTTGAGATGAGCTCCTGGAAGCCCATGGCTTGGACACTGGCTGAGCAGACAGCCTCAGGGGCCAAAACCCCTGCCCCAGACATGCCCACCCATCTCCTGTCCCGCCCAATAGCACCACCACCTCCCTCCGTCTCCTGCAGCAGGCAGGGGCAGGGCCCTGGGTCCTTGGCCAAGGCCAGATGCCAGGGCAGAGCCTACTGGGCAGAGGTACCACTGAGAGAGGGGCTCCCCCAAGATGCCTTGCCTGGATATACCTCCTGAAGTAGACCCCATGGGACCCTGTGCAGCCTGCCTCTCTGCCTGGCAGCACGGCCCCAAAGAGAGCCACCCCCTGCCCCCGCCAGCCCCCAGCAGCCTAGCCCAGACTCCGGTGTCAGCCAGATGTGCCAGGGCAGGTTGAATGAGGAGAGCTTGTTTCCTATGCTTTGCCAACCTGGTGCCAACCTTGGCTATCTCCGTGCAGATTCAGCACTGGAAGAAGCAGAGAGGCCATTTGGTCTTTACTCAGTGCAGGGAAGTCCCGTTCCTGGACTTTCCGAGTTCCTTAAATCCTCAAGAAACAGAGGCCTCACCACCTCACAAGGGCTTCCATGTTTTGGCTATGCAGCTCTGACAATAAAAGCCACATTTTTTTGCAATTTCTTATGGACCAGGCACTGTGTCAACCTTACATACTTTATTTCACAGTGGCTCCGTGAAGTAGGTACTATTATCACCATCCCCATTTTGCAGAGGTGGAAACTGAGGTCTAGAGCCATTATGCATCTTGCCTAAAATCACATTGTGTGTGTGTGTGTGTGTATATATATATATATATATTTTTTCCTACCTCTGTCTGATGAAAGGGCCTAGAAACAGTGACACCTCAATAGCAATGAGCACACCCAGTGCCCAGATCTTAGTTTCTAAACACCACCCTTCAGTAAAAGGAACCATGCTCCTTAGAGAAATGGCTGATTCTGGTGCTGAGAAAGGGAAAATACAACATGAACCTGGAGCATCGTGTGCCAGAAAGTTACGAAATGCTCAAAAAGAAAAAAGAAGGATGGGGGATATCACAGACACAGGAGCTAATCTGACAGAGTTCCCAATGGCCAAAGCTGGAACAGTCTGAACAATAAAATAAATAACTTAGTATTGAATTATAACCCAAAGAATAAGATAGATAAAGGCATGGGTCCATGCTGATAGAAATAAATGGGGGGAGGGGGAGGGGGGAGGAGGAAAAATCTTCCTAACAGAAGAATTCAAAATAATATATGTAGATATAGCTTCCAGGAGGTGGAGTATGGCTTCCCCCCCAACTTGAATGTGGGCTCCACTTGCTTCAAATAACAGACTGTGAAAAGGAGAAAATAGTAACTTCACAGTGGAAAAGGCTGGCAGACACCAACTCAACCATGTAATCAAGGTTAACACAACCAGTAATAAGTCATGGGGACATCATGTGCCTCCTGGGATGATGTGACAAGAAGGGCGCTTCACCTCTGTGGTCTTCTTCCCCCAAACCCACAACTCCTGCCCAGTCACGAGCATCATACAAACCCAAACAGAGGGACAGTCTAACAAAATACTGACCAGAACTCCTCAAAATTGTCAAGGTCATGAAAAACAAGGAAAGACTAAGAAACTGTCACAGACTGCAATGTGGGAACATGGACTGGCTCGTGGAACAAAAAAAAGGACATTAGTGGAAAAACTGTTGAAATCGGAAGAAAATCTAGAGTTCAGTTAATAGTCATGTACCAGTGTTGGTTTCTTAGTTTTGACAACTGTTCCATGGTCATGTAAGATGTTACCATTAGGGGAAACTGCATAAGGGGTATACAGAACTCTCTGTATAATCCTGCAACTTTTCTGTAAACCTAAAATTATTCCAAAGTAAAAGCTATATTTTAAAAACTCATACGGGGGGGCTTCCCTGGTGGTGCAGTGGTTAAGAATCCGCCTGCCGAGGCAGGGGACACGGGTTCAAGCCCTGATCCAGGAAGATCCCACGTGCCCCGGAGCAACTAAGTCCGTGCGCCACAGCTACTGAGCCTGCGCTCTAGAGCCTGCAAGCCACAACTACTGAGCCCGCGTGCCACAACTACTGAAGCCCGTGCGCCTAGAGCCCGTGCTCTGCAACAAGAGAAGCCACCGCAATGAGAAGCCCGCGCGCCGCAACAAAGAGTTGCCCCTGCTCGCCGCAACTAGAGAAAGCCCACGCGCAGCCACGAAGACCCAATGCAGCCAAAAGTAAATTAATTAATAAAAAAAAATCATATGGGGGACTTCCCTGGCAGTCCAGTGGTTAAGACTCTGCACTCCCAATGTGGCCCCCCCAAAAAGAATCATACAGGATATAAACGTATGAACCAGCATTCAAATTCAAATATGTCTGTCCCCTTAGCCCATACATTCCACCTTCCCTGCACCACCTCATGTTAGAAAGTCATTCCCAAAGCCTTCTTCATGGGTCTGAACTTCTTCCCATCTGCCCACGTTCGCCCTCTCGGACCCACCCTAACTCATTTGTTTCCTTTGCCCCATGACCTCCTCTTGAGAGATGAAGGATGCTCCTACCCCCTCAGGTGTGTACACATCTCCAAGCTCATTATCCCCAGGTCCTTCCACTCTCTTGGGTGACTTGGGTGTCAGTGAATGTTGGCCTCCCTAGCACCTACTCCTCCTTTGCAGTAGCCATCAGATTCCACTTGGGGATCCATGGGGTTCCAGAGAATATAACCTGGTTCCGGAGATAAAGCACATGACTTAGGCTAGGTCTATTAGCACACACCATTCCTTGGCCACCCTGATCAGCCCAGAGGTAGCAATGTGACCCAAGCAGGTCTAAAACATCCCAGGACTTTGACAGGGAATGCTAGGACAAAGACAATTCTCTTCCTCCATTTTGGATGTAAATGAAAAGCCCCTGGAAGCCTTAGGATGAAGCCAATTATAGGGACAACAGAGTAGAGAAATGGAAAGAGCTGGGTTGTCAATGACATCAATGAGCCACTGGATCAAGCCTTGACTGAAGCCCATCCTGCCACTACACTTCTCAGTTGGCTGAGAAATGCCCGCCCCCCGCCACCACCACCCCCCCCCCCCCCCAAGTACCATCATACATTAATTTCTTTTATGAAGGTATATATATATATATTTTTAAATTTCCTATCAGAAATATGATAGCACTAACAAGTCAGATTCTTTCCTGGTGCCTGTTTAAAGGCTTATTGATCTCTTAGCAAAGCAGGCCAACATGGGCTACAGGGAGAGAGTTTCTTTTTAAAGCAACGAGTGTCTCCCATGCATTCTTTTTTTTTTTTTTTTAATTAATTTATTTTATTTTTGGCTGCATTGGGTCTTTGCCACTGCGCACGGGTTTTCTCCAGTTGTGGCGAGCAGGGGCTACTCTTCGTTGCAGTGACCAGGCTTCTCATTGCAGTGGCTTCTCTTGTTGCCGAGCACGGGCTCTAGGCTCATGGGCTTCAGTAGTTGTGTCTCGCGGGCTCTAGAGCACAGCCTCAGTAGTTGTGGCGCATGGGCTTAGCTGCACGTGGGATCTTCCCGGACCGGGGCTCAAAGCCATGTCCCCTGCATTGGCAGGCAGATTCTTAACCACTGCGCCACCAGGGATGCCCCAACCATATGTATTCTTATAGGAGGGAGGCAGAGGGAGATTAGACAGACACACAAAGAAGGCAATGTGACCGCGGAGGCAGAGAGTAGAGTGATGTGGCCACAAGCCATAGAATGCTGGCAGCCACCAGAAGCTGGAAGAGGCCAGGAACAATTCTCCCCTAGAGCACATCTCCTCTACAAGACAGAGCACAGCCCGGCCGACACCTGGATTTTGGCTCAATGATACTGATTTCAGACTTCTGGTCAGAACTGTGATAGAATAAATTTCTGTTGTTTTAAGTCATCTAGTTTGTGATAATTTGTTAAAGAAGCTGTAAGAAAAAAATCCAAGAACTAATATATTCTCTTTAATATTTAAGACTATTTGAATCTGATATTTTGTTAATTGCGGCCAAAAGCAGTCTAACTGGTATACAGCCCCTCTCTCACCCTCCTCTGGTTAAGAGGTAAACTCTACAGAAGGGCCAATGCCCAGTGGGAGGTAGCCAGAGACCCTCCTGATCTTTAGCTGGTGAAATAGGGCTGGGGTGGAGGCAGCACCAAAAGGCTCACAGACTCCAAGCAAAGGCAGTATGGGACTTTATTTACAGACAGGTCACAGCAACCAGGGCCCACACAGGCTCAGGCCAGAAGACTCCAGATATACATACATGTACAGGTCCCAGCACCCAGCAGCACCAGAGCCATTGCCAGCCAGGTCCCTGCCAGAGGGACCAAGAGTCAGGCAGTGTTGAGGGCAGGAAAGGGAGAGGGCCCCAGCCCTTGCCAGATATCAGAGGTCACAAGTTGTGGCCCCCAAGCCAGAGGAAGAAACTACCCTCGTCCCTGAATCATGGACACTGAGTAGTATGACAGGGGAGACCCCCTCCTGTGTCCAGCCTGTACTCTCAACGCCAGGTCTCGAAACAGAAGTCCCAGTGCCAGCATCTTGGGGCATGGAGACACTGAAGGCCCCCTCCAGACCTGTCCAGGAGCCGGGCGTGGAGCAGGTGTCCCAGGCCATGGCTGCCCATCACACGGGGGGCTCCCCCAGTTTGCTGGTGGCACTTGTGATCCGCTTATTTTCCCGGAGGTTTCGGAGGCGGGCACTGAGGCTGCTGATCTCTTCCACGTAGGCCTGGGGCACCCACCCTTTCTCACCATCTGCCAGGCGGACGCCCTCCAGCCAGCCTAAGGGCACATAGGCCAGGAGTTGCATCAGTGGCATCAAAGGAACATCTGGGCTAGGTCTGCGAGGAAACACCTAGGCCCTGATACAAGCCTCGTCTGCAGCCCTGGGGCCGAGGTGACATCATCTCAGCATCCCCCAGATCCAGGAAGGAGTATGCCTCTAGCAGACTTGTAGATGAGCTTCTGACCTGTTTTTCCTGACATCCTCTGAGAAGGGATTTCCCACTCTCCCTCATCAGTTACTCTCAATCCTAATCTTTGCAAGCAGGAAGTCCCTCCTCTTGTCTAACTTGATTCTTGAATGCTGTGGTTGATCAACCCTTGCATAACCTCTTTCCTGTGCAGTCTTAGCTATCTAGCTACTTCCTGCCCACTGAAGCCCCATCAGGGCGGCCTTCCCAGGAGGCCCCTCTCACCATCACTGGTCCGGGTCCTCACTGCCAGGATGTCAGTCTTCTCCAAGTTCAGCTCGTCTGGCTGCAGTGCCTTGTATGTCCTGACACACTGAACCTGGGGGCGGTCTGAGAGCCCAAGGGAGAGTGAGGGAGTCCCCAGGGTAGAATGGGGCAGGGGGAGGCAGGGAGAGGCAGCAGGAGCAAATAAGGGCTGGGAGGGTAGTCTCTACTGCTGCTTTTCCTCTGTCCAACCTAGCCACTCTTTTCTCTGACCCTAAACACAAGTTCTAGGCGAATCCAGTCTCTCCCGGCTTCAATACTGTTTCTGTGCCTGGGCTCTCATCTTCCCAGCTCAATTCAATACTTTGTTCCTGACTTCCTGGTCTAACTGCCCCCAGAAAGCCCCCACAAAACAGTAATGGTCCCTTTGTATGTCCCCTCATGCTACTCTGATGTTCCCTCCAGTCCCTCCTTCTCAGCTGAGATTCAAGCCACATCACTCCCCCATTTATAATCCTCCAGGGCTTCCCGCTCCTCTTAGAATAAAATCCAAAGTCCTCCCCACAGCCTACAAAGCCCAACACAGGCTGGTGTGGCCCCCCTTGCTAACCTCCTCACTTCCCTCATCTTCCCCTCTCTCCTTCGCTCATGAAGCTCAGCCGCACTTGTCACCCTGCTGTCCCTCAAACACTCTAGGCTCCCTCCTCCTTCAGGGCCTTTGCACTGGCTGTTCCGCCTCCCAGGAATGATTTTCCCCAGATCTTTTCATGGCTGCCCCTCACCATCCTTCAGGGGCCTTCCCTGACCACCTCTTTGGAGTGGGAAGTTTACCCTCCAACCCAAACAGGACCTCTAGCTCAAGTCAGAGAATCAGCTCCAGTCCAGGCCCTCAGCCGCTTTTACCACACTAGGTGGGCTGGGAGTATTGGGAAAACCACAGGCCTTGGGGCCAGACCAGCCTATTGGCTGTATGACCTTGCAGGTTACCTAACATTCCTGGGCCTCAGTTTTCTCAGATGGGAAAAATGAATAGGATTTTTGACTAGTGACTAATAGGATCGTCATGAGGATTAAACAAAATAAAGGCATATACAAAGCCCCTAGCACCCAGGCACATGGAAGGGACTGGGTGGAAATGAGTTCCCTACCTTCCCCTTCATTAGCTTAGCCTTAACATCCTCTCTCAGAAACCTTCCAAAGCTACCTGGTACCCACTACACCAAGATGCTCTCTGATTGGGCTGCACCCTAGCTTACCAGCCTAATTTCATACCCAGAGAAGCCTCTGGCTCAACAGAGCAGATCCCTCATCCTACCACCCCCACCCCCATGCCCCAGCCACTCTGGTTTCCATCCTTTTTGCAACTGATGCAACGCTAGAGACAGACCTGGGTTCCAGTCCCACCTCTGCCACTTACTAGCTGAACTTGGACAAGTCACTTTACCTTTCTGAATCTGTTTTCTAACTTGTAAAATGGGGACGAAATGGGAGGATGTAAAAGGCTATGTCATCTCCAGGGTGCTACCTGTGCACATGGAGGTTGGTCTGTCCTATATCAAGCCTACCCATCCTTCAAGCTTTCACAGAGCTGCCCCTGCCTGCCCCAGGCCAGTTGATCTCTCTTCGCACTAGCCCCGCTGGCAACAGGACACCCGGGGCTGGAGGAAAGGGGAGAGCAATGAGGTACCCAGCCCAGGGAATGTGGCTCCAGTCGGGGTAGGGGACAGGCTGTTACCTTCCCCCTCGCTGATGACCTCCCTGTCCTCCTGGGGGGTAGAGGGGCACATGGCTGAGATCCATCGCTGCTTCTCGCTTCTAGGGAAAGGGGGGCTGAGTTGTCACAGTATGCAAAGTGCAGTCTCCCAGGGCCAGGGTGGTGAAACCGGAGCTGGGAAAACTGGGTACGATGTCCAGACCTGGGACCCAGAATCAGGTCTTCTCTATCCCAGGGCCCACCCACGGCCCTGTTCCCAAGCCGGTGCCCCACCCAGCTCTGAGCATAAGAACAGAACAGGTGCAGGACACCCTGGATGCCAGCTCTGCCCATGTCCAGCCTTATGCCACCATCCTGAAGCCAGAGATAAAGGCCTTGTGCCTGCCAGGGGTTCCTCTCCCCATACCCAAGCCTACTCACTCTGTCCGGGCCCTCAATAGGAACTGGTGCTTCGTGTGCTGCCCATGGAGGAGCTGAAGGAGGAACACATGGCCAGGGATGCCCTGGGGCTTCAGGCTCAGGTCCTTCACCTGCAGCTCAGCCATCTTGGCGTGGACGAAGACAGCGAATTTCCCCAGCCTGCAGGACCAGAGGAGGCGAGGTCAGCCTGGCCCCCACCCTCAGGGGTTCTGATTGCAAGAGAGGAGAAGGGGTCACCTGTCCCTCTAGGACCCCCCTCAAAGAAACTTGGCTGCACAGGGCACCGCTTCCCTGGCAGCCAGCAAAGTCCCTAGAAGGAATGGGGGCTCCATTCGTGCTGGCTCACTAACAGAGGTGGAAGGTGATGGAGACCAGTCCCTGGCCCCCAGGCACACTTTCCACTTCTCTCTGAACCTCTTCCTGGAGGCTCTGCTCCAAAGAACCAACTGGGCAGCTCCCCTGATGAGATCTACGGACTGTTTCGTGTCTGACTCTCTAACCGGTAGAGAAGCTGAACTTTGTCTCGTTTGCCGCTGTATCCCAGCACCCAACACTGCCGGGCCCACTGTTTGGGTCTGATAAACCCTTGTGGGAAGGATGGGTGGGTGGGCGGGTCAAGGCTGTTCCATAAATTCCTTCATCTCAACCCATCTAAACAAAACCAGTATCTCCTACCCCAAACCAGGTCCCTTCACTGTTCCCCATTCCAGTGAAAGACACCACCAAGTTGCCCAAAAGGAGACTCAGTCCTCATTCTCACCTCTTTCCTCCCTCTCCCCCGACACCCAACCAGTAGCTGTGTCCTATCTGTCTATCTCCTTATTGTCCCCAGAATCCAGTTATCTCCAAGCCCATTACCACTTCTGGAGCATCTACTCTCATTTGGGCAGTTACAAGAGCTTCTGGTCTCTGCCCTTCCAGCTCATTCTCCAAATGGGCCAGGAGTAAATATCACTCCTCTGCTTAACTCCCCATGTTCCCTACTGCCTTCAGAAAGTCTAGCCTCCCTGCCATGACTTTCAACATCCCACCTTCCTTCTCCTGCCCTTCCCCTCTATAAATCCAGCCATACTAGGCTTCATCATCTCCCAAATATACTCTGCTCTTGTACCCTTCTGTGACTTGGCTATATCCCCCCAAATTCCTCTACCTGAAAAACTCCTACTTATCCTTCAAAACCCAACTCAGATGTTCCTTCCTCTGTGAAACTTTACTGATTCTTACCCCACACCAGGAGATACTACAGTATACTACCCCCTTCCATCCAAACCCTGAACAGGTGGTTATCAGGATGTATTTTCACGGGTCTGAGAGCTCCTACACACTTTGGAGGGCCCGGTACAGAACAGGGATTCAGTGACGCTTCATTGAATGAATGAGTAAATCAGCAATGAACTCTTCTCACGGCATAAGATGTCCATCCTTTTCATGGCATAAGATGTCCCATCCAGCCTTAAGGCTTACTTCATTCCAGAAGTCTCTCCCTCATCCCAAACTTATAATCATCAAGGCTAATACTGAGTGAATGTTCATTATGTACCAGGCACTCTGCTAAACTCTTCACATATTATCACATTGAATCTCCCTTCTATTTTACATATGGAAGACAGGATAGTACAATAGTTAAGAGCCTGGGATCTGGCATCAGACAGACCTGGCCTCCTCCTGGCTCCTGCACTTACTAGCTCCATGATCTTGAGAAAAACAAGGGAGATTACTTCTCAGGAAGATGATTAGAGGATTAAAGGGAACAATCCACATAGCATGCCTGGAACAGAATACACGCTCAGTAAATGTTGATTATTATCATTATAACTCAGGGGAGATTGGGACTCTAGGGTTGCACTTTTAATCTCTGCTCCAATTAGCTTAAGCTCAGAGCAGCTTCAAAGTTCTTGGCACACAGTTCAGCCCTTGATTCTCAGGTCCAGAAGGTGGACTTGCCCTAGCTCTGCCTTTCCTAGGGGAACCTCCAAGGCTCAGGGTGCCCTGGCAGCACAGCCTGTCAGATGGACTGATTGTGAGCCCATTGGTGGGGAAGAAGAGAGCTCCACTCTCATCTACACCCACCCCCACCCCGACTCACTCCTTCCTCCGGGAGAGAAGCAGGCAGTCATTGAAGAGGTGCAGGTAGACCGCCTTGCTGGACAGCTTCAGCTTGGCAGGGGGTGCTGCGGGCAGTGGGGCCAGCTCCACCAGCTCCCCGTGCCGAACCAGCCAGCGGGCCTGCGAGATCAGCGGGAAGATCTGGGAGGATAGAGGAGGCAAGGGGGAGCCCAGGTCAGCCAGGAGCAGCAGGGCAGAGAGCACAGGGCAGGGGATGGGAGGGCTGGACAATGATGAACTGGCTTGCAGCCCCCAGGGAAGGAGGAGACAGGGCTGCCCCTTTGCATGCCCCATCCTATCGGCTGAGGTCATGCACCTTGCCCTCAAAGTGGATCTTCTTGCTCAGGTGGATGAGCTCCTCTGTCCTCTTCATGGACTGCACACTGGCATTGCACTCTTGCACCAGCTGGGGAGACCAGAGGTGGGTCACCTGCAGCGCCCCCTACCCCGGCTCCCAGAGCCCAGCCTCAGGCTCCCACCTGGGGACCAGAAACTCTGAAGGCTGGGGCTCCTTTAGAGGCACACAGGGATTCCAGGGAGGCCCTTGGAAGCCAGACATCCCCCGCCCTGCCGAGCTCACCTCCTTGAGTGCATTGAAGGCCTTGGTGGCCATGTCTTCGTCTTCTGAACCCTGTGCTGTCCGCTTCAGGATGTTCTGGAGGGTGGAGTCAGCACAATGAGGCAGGCTGTGACCTCTCCCAGTGACCCTGCCCAGCTGTGGGTGCCCGGAAGGGGCTGTGGAGGGCACAGCAGCATCTCCCCCACCCAGCCCTCCCCACAGCCTGGTGCCCTCTAGGTACCTCCACCAGCATCTTGAGGCGGGTGATCCTCTGAAACGGCAGGATGAGGAAGGAGGTGAGGGGCAGACGCTGGCACACGGGAGACTCCTCCAGGCGAGCCAGGATGCTGGGGAACTTGGGGTTCTCCAGGCTGGAAAATGGGGAGAGGGGAGGGTCTGAGATCACAGGTGATCCTGAACTTCTGGATCCACGACTCCAGCCACCCCATTTGTCCTTGAGGTGCGTTCTCAGGTCTAGCCTTCTCCTGGCCAGAGAGCCCTTTTCAGGTACCCCTCCCCTCCCAGGTCACCCTTCCTCACCCAGTCCTCTGCACCTACTGCTGCCTGAGACTCCCCTATCCTCCCCCACCTCCCCTTTCAGAGCCCCCAGCCCTACAGCAGCCGCTGGTAGGTGCGCTCCTGATAGGCCTGGTTGGTGACATAGGGCAGGTAGACGCGGCGGAAGGCCGGACAGTGGTACAACACAATATCGCACACGCTGAAGCGCAGAACATCGGCCTCCAACCGCTGCTCCAGGTCCTGTAGGAACCTGAAAGGTCAGAGAGGGGTCAGGGCCAGCACCAGGATGAGACCCCAGACATGGGAGCCCAGGCTCGGTCCCTGACTCCCGGCGAGGCCAGACCACTCCCTCACCTCTCGCTGGTGCTCTTGACCTCGGGCAGTTTGGAGAACAGCCACTGCTTGTCCTGCACCCCCAGACACTCACTCAGCTCGGTCGAGCCTAAGAAGTGTCCCACGGCCACCGACAGGCTGTGGATGTATGAGGCCTCGGACGTAATCAGCTCAAATTTGGCCTGAGTGAGGGCGGACGCAGGATTGAAAAGGCGGAACCAGCCCACGCTGAATGCGACCGCTTCGCCCACCACGCACACCCCAAGCCCTGGACACCACCTCCTTAGACGTAGCTGCACTCCCGTGTCGCCTCCCCTTCTCTAGCCTCACCCAGGATCTGGCGCCAGATGGGGTTCGGAGACACGCCTCCTGCTTCTTGCGATTGTCCAAAGCCTACTGCAGCCCTGGTTTGCGCCCCTAGCTCCGCCCATCCAGCCGGGCCCTAGTCTTCTGATGGCCCTGCCCCTCCCTGGTGCGCCTCCCATTAGCCCCGCCCTCCCGCCGACCCCGCCCCTGCTCTTCTTCTCGCTAGGGCCTGCGCGCACCTTGCGTTTTGCGCTCTGCATGGCTCCCTGCTCCCAGTCCCTGCTTTCAGTGTTCTCTGTCATAAGGCCCAGCCTGATTCCGCCCTTCCTCTGGCCCTGCCCTATCCTAGGCCTTGCCCCGTTGACACCGCCCCTCCATCGAGCTTCCCCACTCGCCTTTGGCTCCAGGGCTCCTGCGTCCTCGCTTGCATCCAGCCTCACCTTGTCGTGTTCTAGACCCATCTTCCCCATTGACAGCCCCTCTTTTGTGGCCCCTCTTTCCCCGCTGGATCCCATGCCCACCTACTGCAGTTTGTAGTCCCGCTGGCCGGGTACCCCTGCGGCCCGGGTCGCCGCAGAGTCCGCGGACCACCTATTCCTGACCCCGCCCCTTATGTTGCCCCGGCCTCTTTGGGCCCCAGGACCGCCTCCCACGGCTGGCAGTCCCGCCGGCCCCGCCCGCCGGGTCCCGGCGCCCACCTCCTGCAGTTTACAGTCGCGCAGGCTCAGCGTAGCCAGGACGCCGCTGCCGCGCACGTCGGGGATGTCTTGCCACAGCGAGAAGGTGGAGCCTCGCGCCGAGCGCTGCGCCCGGAAGGAGCTGCTCGGGGAGAGGTTGGCGCGCGGCGGCCCGGGCCCCTCCTCCGCGCCCTCGGCCTCGTCCCCCGGACCCTCCTCCTCGCGCTGCTGCCGCCGCAGTTCGCGGGCGCTGGCCACGTCGCTATATTCCTGGTAGAGGACCGCTGGGCGGGGAGAGGGGCGGGGGAGGGCCGTGGGGCGCCCGCCAGCCCTGCCCGGCTCTTCCCAGGCTCCCCCGAGGGCCCGCCTCACTTAACCAGCCTTTCCGATGGTTCGGATAGCGGGACTCAGTGAATTCATTAATTCACTCACTCATTCCACAAACACTACTTGAGCACCAATTGCGTGCTAGCCCCTGTGCTGGATACTGAGAGTTCAATTCTCTCTCTCTCACAAGAGCCCTACCTCTCAACTCTCCAAACCCCAGTTTCCCAGTACACCAAAGCCCCCAGACCCTTCCTCGGTGACCCCCTCCCACGTACAGTTAAGGAGGAACCGTGACTGGCGCCGCTCGCTGGCGCTTCTGGAACCCGGAGCCGGCTCTTCCTGCGCATCTAGCCTAAGAAAGGGAGTGTCAGGGCCCTTCTTCACCCGTACCCCGCCTCGGACCCAAGGCCGCAGTGGTAGGTGGTACCTGGGCTCGGGCCAGCTACCATGGCCCCCGCTCAGGTCAACAAGAGCCGGCATCGCCATAGCGTCCACCCGCATCTCTACAGTGCGCGACTCTCTTCCAGATGCTTTCCCTGGAGGGGGCAAGAGCTGAGGGAGGGTGGCCCCAAGAGTGGCGCTGGGCACTGGGGCACCACCACACTCCAGTTGACCAGGCCCCGGTGTCAGGTATCCAGTGAGCGTGAGCTGTGCCCCACCCCGCGTCTGGCTCTTGGGCTGTTCTTAGGGCCCAGGGGAGGAGGCTGTACCTTCCCGGGCAGCTCCGGGGCCTGACCCTGGGGTCAGTGCCCTGGCTGCTGAATTCCGTCCCAGGCGTAGGGAAGAGTGCAACCGGGTCATCAGCTCAGAGGCTGAGAAGCGCCTCCGCTCAGGCCCCTCGAGGCCCACTCGGGTGGGCCCAGGCAGCTCCAGCGGCCTAGGCGCTGCTGTGCTCAGGGCCTGTTCTGTCGCCTGGCTTGGCTCTAGGAAGACAGCATGGGCCTCAGGGCTCCCAAGGGCCTCTTCTTGCTGGTACACCCGCATCTTGCGCCCTGCAGAGGGAGGTGCGGTGAGAGAGCATAGGCTGGCATCCACTGGGGTCTCTCCTCTCATCCCTGCCACCGCTCTGTGGCCCTGAGCATCAGGGGGACATGCCTATGAGAAAGGCCAATGTTTTTGCCGGGTTCTTTCCCCAGAGTAATGGGATCAACAAGAGGGGCAGAGAGGAAGCAAAGTGCCTGACTGCAGTCGGCAAAGGGTGGGCAAAGGAACAGGGAGGCCAGGCCAGCCACTCACTGTGTAACCTCAGACAAGTCACTTGCTTCCCCTGAGCCCCAGTTCCCTTATCACTAAAATCTATCACTTGTCCCACCTACTTGGGGAATTTGGGGGCTTACGGGTCCTAAAAGAGCCACGCAACCTCTTCCCCGTCCTCCCCACCAGGCCACCACCCCCCTCACCCTGAGTGACTCACAGGCTGACTTCTTTTCCGAGCCGTGGCTGGCCCGGCGCTGTGGCTGTAGGTGCTGGGAGCTCCAGGGTCCCTCCAGAGCTGGGGACTGGGCACTAGGACAGTGTGGCCAGCTGCCAGCCCTGCTGGGCCGCATTCCCCCACTGGTAGAGATCTCGGTGTCTGGGCCTCCTGGGGATGGTGGCCATAGCAGCCCTTGGAAAGGAGCAGGGGTCCCCAGAGACCAGCGGCTGCCAGGTGCCTGCAGCTCCTCTGGAGCGACGGGGAAGAGATCCAGACACACAGGGCTTGGGGGCTGCAGGGTGGGCAACTCCGCAAAGGACAGACTCTCCTGCTGGCACACAGCTACTGGGTGGTGGGCAGTGCCAGGTGGCCCAGCCAGATGGGACTGGAGGGTGGGAGGTGGCCCACAGTCCATTCCTCCTTTGCTCTGCCACCCACCTGGGCCTGCAGGGGAGAAGGCATCAGAGCGAGACACAGGACAGCAGGGCTGGCCAGTAAGCACCATGTCCTGGAGACCTGGACAAAGCCTTGTGTACATACATCTGTACAAGCACACACACACCTTATTATATAGTAATAGCTAATGCTTACTTGGCACTTACTGAATGACAGGCCAAGTACTTTACACATCTTATTTCATTTAATCCTCACAACAACCCCGAGTTGATACTATTATTAGCCCCTTTTTATAGGTGACGAAAGTGAGGCACAGAAGTTGTTATTTGGTGAATAATGGAGCCAGGATTCAAACCCAGGCAGTCTAGCTTCTGAGTCTGTGCTTTTAAGCACCTTGCACATTTCCTAACTCTCACTGACATGCAATCAGACATACAGATACACACATTGTCACACAATCCCATGTCTGTTCCATTCACATCCACACACATTTTCTTCCAAGTATACACATTGACATACATACTTTCACAGATATACTCAGACATTTCTAATTCGCAGGCTCACACATTCACACACACTTTTTTATACAAGTACATATATTCACTCAGACTTTCACAAACACATGATGATGACCCATCAGATATTTCCATATCCACTCAAGTTTACTCACACTCCTGTTCCATTCACACTCACACACTGTGATGCAGATACAAACACACAGGCCCAGAAATCCTTGCTTTGGTGTTACCCAACCTCCCCTCCCGTGCCCAGAGTTGTAGCCTTTAGCGCTGAGTGGTGCCCACACCCATGCCAAGCTGGCTGGGAGGGTCACACACTGGCAGGCGGGCCACCACGCAGATCAGACTGGGCCCTCCCAAGAGACGGGAAGGGAAGTGCCTCAGCCCCTCAGCTTGGGGTGAGGGAGGGGTTCTTCCCTGCCCCAGCTCCCAGCCCCAGGATCGGGCCAGGCTGAATGGGTCCTCTCTGGGCAGGACGTCATCCCGAGGGAGGCTGCCGGAGCCTCAGGACAGGTCTACTGATCAAGGGGTCTGAGCCCCCCAGCCCTTGCCCCGTGGCCCTTTGCTGGCTGCCCTCCTGCAGCCCCTCACCTCTCCAGCCAAGGCCCACTGCTGATGTTGTGCGGCTGCTCCGGCAGGGGAAGCCCTCTCTCTGCCCAGCTGGCTGGGGGAGATCCCACCCAGACAAAGAGTTTGATTCATCAAACCCTGTGGTAAGGCAAGCGGGTAGGGAGGGAGGGAACAGGCAGCGGACTGGGCGGGGGCCTACCCTAGCCTGGCCTCGCTGTGGGCAGGCTGGGCAGCAAGGACCCCCAGAGGCCCCTTCAGGCCAAAGGGGCAGTGCCCAGCCTCGCAGGGCCAGGAGACCCAGGAGACAGAGACTGAGAGACCGAGGGACTGAGACCTGGAAAACTGAGACCCTTTAGACAGCAACCCAGAAACCAAGACCCCAAAGCACTCAAAACCAGAAAACCACAGACACTGAGACATTCAGGGACCCAGAGATGGAGACACAGAGACAGAGACACTGAAAATTTTAGACAGACCAGATATTCAGAGACAGATGTGAAGCCCGGAAAAACTCGGGGAGACAGATGGGCAAATGTTTCATGCCCCGCAGGATTGCCAGTCTCATGGGGAAGCCAGAAATGAAAACAGTTATAATCCAGGTTGGCAAGAGCCAACCTAGAGGAACCATCAGATTAGGGTGCTGGGCTCCACTCAACCCGGGCATTCCAGGAAGGCATCCTGGAGGAAGTAAGAGTGAACTGTTCTGGCTGAAATACCCAAGGACCCAGGTCCACAGAGATAGAAGCCTCGGCTCGGCATGAGAGAAACAGTGACACAGTGACCCTGGGAGAGGGGGAAAGAGGGAAGGACCCAGTAGAGGACAGCTGGATCTGTGACTGGGTCCCACTCTCTGCAGTCCCTCAACCTGCTTCCCCCTGCTTTCTCATCCCCTGCCTGGAGTACAGGTAGGGTGGCTGCTCCTAAGGGACAGTTACTCCTCCAGACCCTCCCCACAGGGAGCAAGTCTCTCCTTATCTGGTAAATGGGACAGTCATGCTTCAAAACGCTAATAGGAGAATTAAGAATAATGCAGGGGGCGCTTCCCTGGTGGCGCAGTGGTTGAGAGTCCGCCTGCCGATACAGGGGACGCGGGTTCGTGCCCCGGTCCGGGAGGGTCCCACGTGCCGCGGAGCGACTGGGCCTGTGAGCCATGGCCGCTGAGCCTGCGCGTCCGGAGCCTGTGCTCCGCAGCGGGAGAGGCCACAACAGTGAGAGGCCCGCGTACCGCAAAAAAAAAAAAAAAAGAATAATGCAGGGGGACTTCCCTGTCAGTCCAATGGTTAAGACTCCTCGCTCCCAATGCAGCGGGGCACAGGTTCAACCCCTAGTCGGGGAACTAAGATCCTGCATGCCTCACGGCACAGCAAAAAAAAAATAATAATAATAATAATAATAATGCATATCAAGCACCTATCACATAGTGGGAGCTTTGCAGTTGATAGTCATTCCTCTGAGTGTTATTAGTCTTTCTCTAGTCAGATGGATGGCTTCAGCCATCACAGAATTAGGGAAACTGAGGCATTGAGGGTGAGACACACCCTATTTTGTAGGAGCATGTGGCAGGAGACACAGGGGACCACTGCCCACCAGACAGGTCTCTTTCTCTGCTGGAATCAGAAGTCCTTAACACAGAAGTCCCACTTGCTTCTGTGGGTACACATGTGCAAGAATACACACTCTGCTCCCTTGTATTCTGGGAGATTCTCTCCACTTGGGTCCTGGAAGCCCCTAGAGGGCAGGGAGGAACCCCCTGCCCTTGTCAGTTGCAAGGATAAATGAGCAAAACATGGAACCCTTGGGGCAGGAGCACCCCCAATTTTTTTATTTTTTATTTTTTTCGGTACGTGGGCCTCTCACTGTTGTGGCCTCTCCCGTTGCGGAGCACAGGCTCCGGACACGCAGGCTCAGCGGCCATGGCTCACTGGCCCAGCCGCTCCGCGGCACGTGGGATCTTCCCGGACCGGGGCACGAACCCGTGTCCCCTGGGTCGGCAGGTGGACTATCAACCACTGAGCCACCAGGGAAGCCTGCACCCCCAATTTTTAAAAAAGTTTCTTTTTTTGGCCATGCCATGCGGCATGCGAGACCTTAGGTCCCTGACCAGGGATCGAACCTGTGCCCCCTGCCGTGGAAGCGCAGAGTCCTAACAACTGGACCACCAGGGAATTCCAAGGAGCCCCCCCTATTAAAGCCTCAGAGGAGAAGGCTGGGTAAATGGAGGGGGTGTGTAAGGCTTCCTCAGGGGCCACAAGGCTGGAGGCAGGTCCCTAGGGAGGAAGTCAGGAGTGGGTCAGCCTCCACCTCCGTCCAGGCCAAGGGACAATGAAAATGACCCATCTAGCCAGGATGCCAGCCCTGTGGCCTTCCATGGATGTGGTCCACTCAGCCTCAATGCTGGGGACCAAGGAGGGGCAGAACTATGTTCATAGTGTTTATAGCTTATCTCTGCTAGAAAAAAAAGAAAAAAAAAAAAAACCTCAGGAAGAGACTGGCCCCAGGCAACAGAAGGACATTACCTGCCCAAGACATTGTCACAGGATACTCTAGTGCCCACTAGGCAAGGGTCATTCTGGAACCCACAGGGGAAAACCCCTGCCAACGTTCAAGGCCCTGCTTTGACACTGGCCTTAGGCAAATCATAGCCTGTGCCTGGGCCTGAGTGTGCCCATCTGTAGAGCAGCCCCTAGGGCACCTCTCAGCCACCCCATCTAGGAAACTTTGGTCATCATGAGTATCTCTGCAGGCTGAGAAGGATGGGCAGGGCCAGAAAGGGTCCCATCCAGTGGGCACTGCTAATCACATGGATAATGGGCCCACTTGGCAAGGCTGGCAGGGAAGGTCCCTGGACACTACTATGGTTTGGAGAAGGTATCTCTGACCTCCTGTGCCCAGCTTTTCCCTTCCCCCTCCCTGGGGCCCCCTGCCCTGCTGCCTGAGGAGTAGAGCTCTGCCAGGGCCCCTCTTTTCCTTAAGGGACAAGGCCAAGTGGGAGGTCATGACTGGAAAGGGAATCCAGGCCAAGCAGGCTGTGGAGCCCCAAGAGGCCTTAAGTGTGTGGGAGCCAGGATCAGAGGCCAGGCAGGCTGCACAAAGGACTCACTTGGGAAGACTGGCGGGAGCAGGATGGGGTTGCTGGCAGCCAGGTGGGGCCCTACCTCAGCCAGGGAGCTCCGTCCAGCCTCCAGCACGGTCCAGGGCTCCAGGACACCCTGGGAGCTCTGGGGTTGCAGCCGGGTCCTCAGGGGGCGATGTCAGCATGGCCCCTGAGCCAGGCAATGCAAGCTCCCGGGTATTGTGTGGGGCAGGGAGAAGGGGAGGCAAGGGCGGAGGGAACCTCGCGGGCGGGCGGGCGGCTGTCTCAACGTGCCTGCTCCCCGCCCCCCTTTCCCAGAACCGGTTTGGCCAGTCTGAGGTACAAGAGGGGGGCTGGAACAATGGGAGTCCTATGCCCAGGAGAGGCTCTGAAGGACCCCAGACCGACATCCTAAAGATGGGGGAGGCACTGTTTTTCCTCCCGGGGGACAGACAGGTCATCCCTCTTCTGGAGCTTCCCAAATGTGAGATGTGCTCAGGGGGCTTCTTGGGGCTGGGAGCATCCTGGGAGTTTTGCAGAGAAACTCCCAAGCCTTGGTCTCCTCAGGGATCCTGAGAACTCTGCAGTGTGCTGATCTTCTCTGAGCCTGCTACAGCATCTATGAAGGGATCCCTCATCTCTGTGGTTGGGAGACGGAAATCGTTAAAGCCAGTGATGTGACACACCTGGCACCATCCTGGCCATCCTCCCAGCATCACAGCTCCTCATGAATGATCTATCCTCCCCTGCCACCTGTAGTGACCCACCCTCACCATCTCCAACAACCTCCTCCACCAGGCTTCCCAGACTCTAGTCCACACTGAATGAGCCCTCAAAAAACCAATTCAATGTCCCGAA